GAGTAGAGATAAAAATCTAAAAAAAATCATGGAAGCTACTTTCATTCAGTACAAAAACACAAAAAAATTTCGGCCAAATCAAAAATGGTCGGGGACAATCATTGGTTGAGTTGGCATGGAGAATGCCCCATATATATATATAATATTTTATTTAATTTAACCACCTAAAATATTTTTATTGTTTTTGACAATGTAAAAAAAAGGTAAAACTGTACATTAAGGGTAACTCTCGCCAATTTTAGTGACGACATATATTGTCAAGAACATGGTTCTAAGCAATATTCAAGAAATTTAGCCATTACTCGTCTATTAGAAAGTTATTAACAATCAAATGCAATCACATATTGTGATGCATGCCTTGGACGTGAGAGTGTACATTTTTGCAATTCCTCATTTCTAATACAAAAAGAATCCGTAATATTTTGAATATCATGAGAGAAAAAAGATTCTAAATATATTCTTGTATGCGTGAAAGCCTCAATTTGAAAAATTTCCCCGAAAACAAATGAAGATAGGAAACCCTGGTTCTCGTCTGGCAATGCATTTTTTATGGCTCTTCAAAGAATATATTCCGAATATATTCTCTTTATACATAAGATCGATAATGATAGCGCAAATTGCATTAAATGATACTGGCCGCTAGATATATTATAGTTAGTAAGTAGTAAAATACATAAATATTGCTAACGATTGACTATAGAGTCGGTTCCAGTGATTGCGAGCAGCCCTCCAGCACATTTCCCGGGAACTCGGCTGGCAGTTCGTCAAACAGCAGCCTCTCGACGAGAAGCCTGGATAGTCCTAGTACTAGTTTGGAGCAGGTACATCCGACCTCATCAGCGGCAAACGCGTCAACTTCGTGGGACAGCGATGTTGATGTTGAGGCTGATCCGCCGGATTGGAGTCAGGCTGTCTCCGAGGACGTTCTTGCGCAGCTCAGCAACTCCGAGAAAAAAAGACAGGATGTTATTAACGGTGATTAGTCAGTTTGTTATAATAGAGATCGTAAGAGATCACATTGGCCATCTTAATTGATTTAAAAAATCGATAAACTGCTTACCAAATTTATACTTCTACAATAGAAGATTGAGGAGTAAGTTAAGAATAGTTTGTTTGATTCAAATAAGTTAAGAACAGGATAATTCTTCTTGCATGCATTTTTATTTGAATACTATTATTATTCGAATTGTAGCGACGGATTATTCTTTTTGCTTCTTCTACGTACTACAGTTTTATATATGCACATTTAACATTTATTTATATAAATATCAAATTCTCTTTTTTTAGAATTGTTTCACACCGAACGCTCTCACGTTCGCGCGTTGAAAGTGCTTTCACACGTTTTCCACAAACCCTTGTTGGAGTCCCAAGTGCTGCCGTTGGATCAGATTCAGTTGCTTTTCTCTAATCTGGATGAGATGCTGATGATACATTCACGCTTTAACCAAGCGATGAAACGGAAGAAGAAAGAGAATTCGTGCGTGAGCGATGTAGGCGAGCTTCTGCTGGAGATGTTCGACGGCGAAGCTGGCGAGGTGTTTGAAAAGGCTGCATCAACTTATTGTGCTAAGCAGCAAGTTGCCTTGGACGCTCTGCGCGATCGTCGACGTAAGGATTCCAAGCTGAACGCTTTCCTGAACGAGGTGGAGGCAAATCCGTTGTGTCGCCGACTCCAGTTGAAAGATCACATACTTACCGGCATGTTGCGACTCACAAAGTACCCGTTGCTCTTTGAAAACCTGGCGAAGTATACGCTAGACAGTAACGAGAGAGAGAAAGCAGCCATATTACGCAGCCTCGAGCGCAGCAAAGAGATCCTGAGTCGCGTGAATCAGGCGGTGAAAGAGGCCGAGGATCATCAACGACTCACAGAGATTCAACGAACAATCGATCGGTCGGCCTTTGATAAATTTGATCATCCAACTGTGCAAGAGTTCAAGAATCTTGATATCACAAAGCGCAAGTTGATCTATGAAGGGCCACTACAGTGGCGGCGTACCGAGCCAAATCGATCGATGCCAAATCGCTCGGTGCCGAAGCCAGTCGATCTGCATGTAGTACTGCTTGACGATACGATCTTCTTTCTACATCGGCAAGACGATAAGTATCTGCTTAAGTTTATCAATACGACCAACCAGGCGGGCAATTCCGTGCTGAGTCCAATTGTCAAACTATCCACTGTATTGGTGCGTCACAACGCTGCCGAGAAAGATTCCCTCTATCTCGTCAACACTTCGCAGAACGGCGCACAGATGTACAATCTAGTGGCACCGTCCTCGACAGAACGTAAGCTCTGGTGCAAACATATCTCCGAGGCCGTTGAGGCTTACAAAGCACGCGATCGTCAGGGCAGAAGACCAACGCCGTCCACCACGCTGTCAGAGGAACCGATGCACACGGTGGAAGATGTGTCGCCTTCCGCAATGGAGGCGGACGACCTAACCGTCGAGAAAGATCAGCCACAGGATCGAGAATCGAGGGATCTTGGACAAAATGCTGCTGGTATGCAAGAGCATGATGAGGAGATGCCGGAGACCGCTACTGTTACGGGAACTCCTACAGCTAAACATATGCAACAGCGGGTACAATCGACTGAGTCGCCAACGACAGGTATTGCGTTATACATTTATAAAGTAGACGGTATAGGGTAACTCGGGGGAATATGCCACACTTAAGAAAAATATGATTTTTTCCCTATTTCTCTTTTTTTTTTATAGGTATTTTTGCATACTGGTTTTCTTTTTCCTTCTTTTATCTGTTATTTATGTATGGTTTTAATGAAATATTTTGATTGTTTACTATTAAAAAGAAAGAAATACAAAAGTGTTGCAAAGTGGCATATTACCCACCTATGTGGGTAATATGCCACATATACAAACATGTATAGTAATTTAACTTTAGAAGGGCATTCTTGTCAAAAAACATGTAAAAGAATATTTTTATTACTTTCTTTGCATTTCAATAGTACTCTGTGTGCTACAAGTAGTCTAAATTATTCGGAATGCAATTTTGCAAAATATTAAGTACGTAGCCTATAATTTTCTTAGCGCATGAAATAAACGTGTTTATTCAACATTTTTTCAATATTTATATGGCAAAATATTTATTTATACTGTTTACAGCTTCCTAACCTGCTACTAGTATACTACTAGTAGGTTAGGAAGTTGTAAACAGTACTGGCATTTTACCTCTATCTAAGTATAGTGGCATATTCCTCCAAGATGCAGTTTTATATTATAATAAGCCTGTATTATACGATTGCCAGTAAAACGAATCGGCGTGGTACTGAATACTTTCATCCTAACCAATTTTAATAGAACGACAAGATGATCGAGTTAAAAATAGTGTAATGCTTGAAGAATATCTCATATAAAACACTAAGAAAATTCTAAAAAGCACGTTGTCATACTGTACTTACTCCATAAAAACTATAATACTGATAGGAAGTAAGTAAAACTTGGATATAAACGCAAAACGTCAGATATAATATTTTTAACAATTTCACAGTATTTACAACAATGCTCCTAGCCGTAGCTTTGTTAAACATAACGAGTGGCATATTCCCCACACTGGCATATTCCCCCCCGTTACCCTAAGTTTATCTTATGATTAGTAGATACGATAACTTATAATTAAATTTTTCTAAAAACTTTTACACCTACATTCTTCTCTATCTATCTATCTACGGCTCTCCGGACTTAAGAAGGTCCTTGGCCTCATAGAGAATTCGCCTCCAGCTTTTACGGTCCCTGGATTTAGTCTTCCAGTTCTCTATCCAGCTTTTTTAAATCGTCCAGTACTGATCTCCACCATCTGTTTCTTGGCCTGCCTCTCGGTCTTGTGCGATGTATGTCATTGTGTAGTTTTCTCCTGCAAGGGTCAGATTCTTCTATTCTGTTCATGTGTCCCAACCATCTCAGTCTTTTTATTTTAATGTGCGTTTCTATATCAGAGTCATTGTAAAGTTGATACAACTCTTTGTTAGTTTTTCTCCTATATTCGTTCTCGTTGATCTTATTTGCACCAAAAATTCTTCTCTTGAATACCCCCATGGCCCCAGGTTTATTGCATCTGAGTCTTTTAACGTCCAGCATTCCGAGCCGTATGTTACAATGGGCCTAATAAGAGTTTTGTATATTGTGGTTTTGGAGGCTCTTGTCAACTCTTTGGATTTCAATAAGGAGATAAGACTGAAATACGCTTTGTTTATTTTCATTAGCCTTCGTTTAACTTCTGTAGATTTATTGTTGTCTGCTGTAATGACTGATCCCAGGTAGGTGAATTCTTTGACGATCTCGAAAGAATGTGATCCTATATTTAGTTTTGGTCCTATCCTCCTACTTATTGCCTGGGGTCTAGATATTATCATGCATTTAGTCTTATCCGCATTTATCTCCAGCCCCACTTTCTTAGCCTCTCTCTCTCTCTATGGCTTCAAAAGCCTCCTTTATTGCTTTTAGGCTTTTTCCTGCTATATCCAAGTCGTTTGGATATCCAAGGATCTGGTAGCTCTGGTATAGAAATGAGGCGTTTCTTTTGACATTTGCTCTCCTTATAACCGCTTCCAAGACTAGATTGAACAGGATTGGGGGTAGTCCGTCGCCTTGCTTAACACCCTTACTTATCGTAAAGATGCTTGACAATTTGCCGTTAACTCTATCCTTGGAACCTTCCGTCATATGTCCGTCATCTGCACACCAGTATCAGCTCATCTGGCACTCCCAGTTCTGCTAACGTCTTTCATATCTCTGCCTTTATGATACCGTCGTAAGCTGTTTTGAAGTTTACGAATAGGTGATACGACGGGATATTGTATTCCCACAGCTTCTCTAGGGTAAGTCTCAGGTTATGCAGTTGGTTTAAAGTTGACCTTCCTTTCCTAAAGCCGTATTGATATTCACCCATCGCCCTCTCGTATATGTCTTCCAGCTTTTTATGTACGATAGACGTGGTTATCTCATATGCTGTATTTAAGAGAGTGATTGCTCTGTAGGGCTCTTCTAGGATTCTGTTAAATCTCCCTTCTTAGGGATAGGGTTGATCAGGCTTCCCATCCAGTCCTCTGGGGTTGGGCCTTTCTCCTGCCAGATGAGCTCTACCAGCCAGTGCAGAACTTTGTACGCTGCGTTACCCGCGTTTTTCAACATTTCTTCGGTGATCGTATCTATCCCTGGTGCTTTATAGTCCCTTAAGGACTTCACCGCCTCCTTGATGTCCGTTATTGTTGGGAGATGGGCGTACTCCCGTAATTCAGAGGTGCTATACGCCTGTGTATTGTCCTCTTCGTTCTCCGGTACCGCGAAGGTATCCGTAAAATGTTCCAGGCATCTTTGTATTATTTCTTCCTGACTTGTTGCCAGTTCGCCGGATAAAGTTCTTATGAACTAACATTGCGGTTTAAATTATGTTTTAGCGTTTTTAAATTTTTTGTAAAATTTCCTAGGCACCCGGTCCAACCGTTCTTTTTTTATGGATTTCAGTTTTTCTCTCAAGAATGATCTCTTCTTCCTTCTCAGTAGCTTTTTGGCGTTTTTTCTTGCCTCTCTATAGTTGTCTATTGGTATCCTGGTTTCCTTGTTGAGGCATTTTTCCCTAGCTTTGTTCTTGGTTCTAATCGCTTCCGCACATTCCCCTTCAAACCAATGATTTACGGCTCTTTGGTTTTTCTCCTAGCACCTCCTTGGCTGAATGAAGTACTGCTTTTCTGATTTTCCCACAAGCGGTTTATGTTTTCAACTGCGGTTTGTGTATTAACTTAGTTCTTATCTTGGCCAATACCAGATAATGGTTTGAATCTACATTGGGTCCTCTTTTGGTTCTCACATCTGTTATATGCGTTGCACATCTCATATCCACCAGGACGTGATCGATTTTGTTTACCGTTTGTCCGTCTGGTGATCCACGTACCCTTGTGAACATTTTTATGTAGGAACCAAGAACCAAGTGCTGGAAATAGTCATTCTTTTTGTCGTTGCAAAATTGATCAGCTCTCGTCATTACTGCTTGTTGTGTCGTATAAACTATGTATTCCAATTGTGGGGTGAAAGATTTTTTCTTTTCCAATCTTGCTGTTGAAATCTTCCAAGATGATTTTTATGTCGAAGCTAGGGGTGCTATCGTATGCTTCCTCGAGCTCGCGATAGAATTCGGTCTTTTCTTCGACGCTCTTGTCCTCCGTTGGAGCGTGTGCCGAGATTATAGTGATATTATGTGGCACGGCATGCATTCGAATTCTGGGGGTTATTGATTCGAAATCTGTGACTTTGTCGCTCAGTTTATTACTCACAAAGATACCTGTGTCAAACTGGTTTTTTCTGTCTGTACTACCGCTGTAAAACAGAGTACTATCCTTCTTATACAATATTTCTTTACCAGGCCATCTTATCTCCTGCAAAGCGCACAGTTCTATTCTGTACTTGGTCAGTTCTTCTACGACTTCTCGGAATGCAGCTTGTCTGAAGAGGCTCCTAACATGCCATGTCGCAAATCTCATATCGTTATTCTTAGATCGTAGCCGTTTCCGTCTCTAGTTGATCCGTCCCGTCCGAGGCTTCTTCTCTTGTCTGCTAATAGTTAGGTTTTATGAGATAGGGTATTGGCCTATCGTCAACCTCCAACCTGGAGGGCCAGGGACTCTTCTGTTGGAGTTACCATGCCTTAGCCGAGGGATTCCGGTTTTATGACGCCGAACACTCGCCATAACTCATCCCACTAGGGGTAGGATTTGCTAGTTTCATCGACGATTGTCGACTTGGGTGTTGCTTGGTATTTAATAGCAGTTCTTATTCGGCCTAGGTACCACCAAGACTCATTTACTAGCCATTCACCTTCCTCCTATATTCGGGCTTGGGACCGGCACGCCTATATTCTTAACGTTCTAATTTTCTGCATTTTTAACATTCTTCTGTGTTGCTCCTTCGCATCTGCGTATCCTAAATTTATTTGCCAATAAGGTAACCAACATAAACATCCTCATTTTAAGGAGAAATATGTTTTATGTTTTAAAACGATCAAAATATCGATTGTTTTTTTTTGTTTTTCAATTTTTTAAAAGAAGTAAATTGTTTTCTGCATATTTTGAGCTTTATATAAGATGATTCTTGGATGTAATTAAGAAAGTTTCTTAATTATAGGGACGGTATTAAATTTATTTGTATGCTTCCAATATTTTTCCAATTTTATTTTCTAACGTCCACAAAACTTACATCAAAAATAAAAAACTCTACAGTCTATAAGTATAAACTAAATCACATATTATATTTGTAAAATGCTAAGAAAAATGATAAAATATTAATAAGAATAATAATAAGCCCATATAATAACGATAAAAAATTAATAAAGATCAATTTGGAACGAGATACTATGACAGATATAATGAAATAGGAGCAGAGACAATACTTTAGGTTTATTTTATCTTTTGAAGTAAAACCTTTTCTCTGTAATAATTTTTCGAATTGATAGGAAAAAGAATAGAAAAAGATCATTTGAATGCATTGACTCACAAGTGATGAGAAAAAGGAACATAAGAATGGATAGTTTTGCCTAATGATTTCGCAACCGTATTTTTTCCCTTAAAAAACTCAGATCTTTATACGATATAATACTTACTCGATGGTTTGCAATTGTTATATTTTCTCGGTATATTCATATACATATGTATAATATTCATAGCATTGGCAGTGTGTAGTTGCTTCAATATTTATAGTTCTATTGGTGCACTATTCTTGACTCTTGTCCAAGTTTTCTTTAGTTAAGAATTGATCACCAAATTACAAAATATTTCTTCTTTTTGTTGTCTTATTAGATATAAATTAACAAAGTATAGAAGTTTGATAAGGACTGCTATTATGGTTAATTATAATGCTTGCAACTCGTCGCGTCGCGTAAAAGAGTCACGGTGCGTTTCGCTTCGCGTGCACTTGGCGCGAAACACTACCGTGTCTCTTGATTAATATATACATACTAGCATGATACCCGTGCTTCGCTAACACACATTTTACCTTTTTTCACCCCGTTAGGAGTCGAATTTCTAAAAATCCCTTCTTAGTGGGTGGTTATATCATGGAAGGAATATACTCCCCGAATTTCATGTTTCTAGGTTTAAGGGTTTGGGCTGGGCGTTGATGAGTCAATCGTAACATTGAATTATATATATATATATATAGATAGATAGATAGATAGATAGATAGATAGACAGATAGACGGACGGACGGACGGACGGACGGACGGACGGACGGAGGGACGGACGGACGGAGGGACGGACGGACGGACAGACGGACAGACAGAGAGAGACAGAGAGAGACAGAGATAGACAGAGAGAGACAGAGAGAGACAGAGAATGAATGAATGAATGAATGAATTGATCTTTATTAGCCTTCTCGGCTTTTTTTTACAACACATAATCTTACAATAATTCCTCTACATGAGGTATAATATATACTTTTAACTTCCGCTTAAATTGTTCGATCCTCTCGCATTGCCTTATATCAAATGGTAGGGCGTTATACATATTTAGACCTTCATAGAATAGACTCTTTTGTCCGCCCCTCGTTCTACGAAACCGCACCACAATATTCTCAGCCTGTCTTGTTTGTCTGTTACTCACATCACCTACTATTTCTATTTTGTTACCTAATTGTCTAGGCATTATTCCTCTTATTATTTTAAAAATAAAAATAGAGAGATAGACAGAGAGAGACAGAGATAGACAGAGAGAGACAGAGAGAGACAGAGAGAGACAGAGAGAGACAGAGATAGACAGAGAGAGACAGAGAGAGACAGAGATAGACAGAGAGAGAGACAGAGATAGACAGAGAGAGACAGAGATAGACAGAGATAGACAGAGAGAGACAGAGATAGACAGAGAGAGACAGAGATAGACAGAGATAGACAGAGAGAGACAGAGAGAGACAGAGAGAGACAGAGAGAGACAGA